CGATGCTCAAATAGCATTCACAGTCTCTCTTTCGGTGATGTTAAATAGATACAGGTCTGACAGACGGTATTCCGGCTCTTTAAGTTGAGGGTTGGAACAAGTGTGAGAATGTATTCCTCAAATTGTGAGCTACCCAAGTCGTCTCAAGGCAATCACCGCCGCCTTCCGGTCAGGCTTTGAAGTCAAAGAATTTGGTCGTGTTGCTGTCATCAGTGACATTGATAAATAGCTGCGCACAGAATATGACGTGAATATTTTTGTTCCAATGATGAATTGCGGATGTGATCTAGCTGACTAAAGCAAGGAAGCAACTTCATGCATCTAAGAGCCATAAACATGCATTTGTGATAAACTTCAAAGCCCGTGAACACACATCTGTCTGCGTGGATAGTCTGAATCTAATCTGACAGATGAGCCGTAAACCTGATACAAACGAGACGTTCTACCTGGAAACTAATACGCTCTACCAGGTGCGATGAAATCTTTCTTGGACCAAAGATTTCAAAACAAAGAAGAAACGACTTTCTCGTTGGAGTTCTGGCACCCACTTGCCTAACTGGTTCGTCAGATTCGCTCGCTTGTTAACTGAGAAGAATGGAAAAAACGATGTGGCGCACCTTTGAGCTTAATATAACCCAGGGATGGAATCAAAATAAGACGACGCGACAAATTCAGCGGCATAGCACGCATTTCTCCGCCTGTGTATAGATGTTGATAAATGAAGAGTTGCGCCAATGCGGCCGTCATGGTTTGATGTTGACTTCAGTGAATAGACTACTAGCAGCAATCGTCACCTCAGCTCAGAGAGAATTGATTGAATGCGCCAGTCATGAAGATAATCGAGTATATAATCAATACTGCCTGTTCAATAATTGAATTATTGTTGAATAGCTCGTCCAATTTTTCGGGTGCGCTATCCCCAACGACAAAAGAGTGAGGTGAAAAACGGCTTTTAGAATATCAGACTTTCGATTGGCATTCACACACGACCAACGAAAAGATGGACAAAGGGAACCCAGTTGCCTGGTTAATGGGGCGTAACCAATTGAAATTTGGGCGACTTCTGGCTTCATATAGACTCGCTCTTAGTTGAAGCTGTCGAACCATCGACAGACTTCCTATCTTTATTAACTATCACTACTAAATAAAGTAAACCATCGGCCTTAACACTTTCAGAGCCTAGCTGTCATGTTACTCGAATGAAGCATGGGGATGTAGACGATGCCTTCTTGCATGAACCTAGAAAAAAATCGTTCAGCTATAGAACCCTTCTGGTGCCTAACTGCCATGCCACCCGAAAGTTGCACGAGGGCTGGGATACTGCCAGGTTGTCCAAGCATAGACAGGGGAAGTCGAGGGGCAGAGGTCGGGTTCGAACCATGGAGAGTCCAGTCAGTAAATTGGCGCTCTAACCACTGGACCATCTCGCCCCATGAACCTAGACAGAAGCAGTTGAATCGCTGAAGTTGGATTAGAGACATGGATCTTCCAGTCAGTAAGTTCTCGCCAATGCCACCGAACTGCCTCAGGCTAGGCTGACGGCTCCCATAGTTGTGACGGTTAGTTTCCATGTTGAACGACTATGGTTCGGCTGATCTTCAGTTGTCGTTGAAAGAGCGTATATAGTGTAAAAACATTAGAATCAAAATGTAAATTATGACAGGAGAATGTGTACATCTGTATCGCACTTGCTTACATGCTGACTGTTTAAAGATCCACTGTCACGCGGAATCCATCCTCATGGGTGGGCATGTTATCGCTTGAGTTGGCGAGAACATGGTTTCTTGTCTGCCAAGGCTAGCCCCCTTAGGAAACATTTTCAAATCCCATCAGCTGCAGTAAGATGTCGTTCAATTCGACCGGCTTCCCTACTTTTATGCAAGCTTGTACTGTATCGCGGTCGTGCTCGGGGAGAGAGACATTTTGGACGTCATCCCAGTGGCTTATCAGTCGATGACGTGTACAGAAGCGGTAATAATGCTGCCGCTGAAGTTTCTACTTCTCCTAGTAGATTCTGGAATATTCGTTAGGCACCTTTCCCATAGCCAATCAGCCATCAATTTGACGAGTCAAACAACTTAACGGTTGTGAGATTCTGACGAAATTTTGAGCGCGAGCGAGCGACTACCATTTGTTCTTCTGCCTGGTTATATCAGTTGTAACTGCTTTGTTTGCTGGTGTCCGAATATGCGTCTCCCCTTGGGAAAATAAACAGCCCTGTTGCATTGGTTTGGTTCCTGCTGATTAGCAACCGTGATGTTTCGCGATCTCTTGACGTAAGTTGGCTTTGATCAAATTTAATTCTACCAGTTTCGAGATGTCACACGTTTTCTCTCCTCAATACCAAATTTCCCATCAACGCTTTAAGTTTTTCTGATGATTCCAACTGGGGACTTTGTTTCCATACAGAAGAGAATATTCGCTGTGATTAAGCCACACCGAGAATCTACAATTCTCCACGATAATCGACTGTACGACAGTTGGATCAGATGAATCAAACGACTAAATAGCATTGAAGTCGGTGATAGGTTTGGACAAGTCGAGCGTATTCTAAACAGAATTCGGTGATAATGTCCCCTGTGAACAGCCACATTGGGAGTTGTTGTCAGTTGTCGGATAATAATAAAATAATCGTTCAGCTGTTGTACCCTTTCAGTGCCTAGCGGCCATGCCACCTGAAGGAAGCACGAGGGTTGGGATACTGCCAGGTTGCCCAAGCCTAGACAGGGGAAGTCGAGAGAAGGAGGTCGGGTTCGAACCACGGACCTTCCAGTCGGTAAATTCGCGCTGTAACCACTTGGGTCATCTCGCCCCAGTTGTTGGATGTTCTGCGTCAGATGGTTGTGAACCGCCCAGTTTGCAGTGCTTGAGAACAAAAAACGTTGGTCAAATTCCCCGCAGTGGTTCCAAAACAGTCAGTTTTTCCCTAAAATGAATCACAATTTGTCGAGAATCATGTACATACACATATACTCGAGATTTTAGGGGCAGCTGTGCGACGAATTCTGCCCTATTGGACGCCATAACAAGTCATATCTTCGTGAAGGAAACTACTCACAAGGTTGCTGAAAACTCTTTGACAGCCCACGACCGGCTTTGACCCTTTTAGGGCTCATTCGGTAGACGCATTTCCAGAGTTTTTTCAATCTTATGTTCTACTCGAACCCAGGTGGAACCAGTAGTGGTCTGTCGAAGAGTTTTCGATAAACTTATGAGTAATTTCCATTATGAAAACATACTGATGTTACCTCGAATATCGTACCAAATGAAAGACGGAGCGGCCTTGGTGCAGCACATTCAGTTGGAGAACATCATACACGACAGATTCTCTTGAGTCTTCCGTGAAAACCAAATTAACTTGCAAATGAGTGTAGTTGTCGAAACGAGTTTTTTCGTTTATCCCCAATCATCTGGTGAATTGGAATTACAAAGTGTTCATCTTTGAGCTTTCTCCGCGGGAAGAGGTATACCCGACTGTAGCAGTTGAGTTTGACAGATAGCTGATAAATCAACCGGATCACTGTGTTGGATCAAACCAGCTTGGAGCATACTCAAAGCACAAGATGAAACCCCCGCATTGCTGGACTCATTTCGATTGGATGCACATAGCAGAGGCTCTTAATTTCACTTTTAAAAAGGCAGAAGTTATCCCGTTGAATAGAGGTGTCATCGGATTTCCTAAAACTCGGGAAAACCATTGAGGTCCATGGGCATAGAGCTTTCGCCTGAGTTTTTTATTCCAGCCAAGTTGTTGAATGCACAAGTCAGCATCTACCTGGAATTAAAGTTGAAAACAAATTCACCGGATGCGCAAAACTATGAATCTCACGGAACGTGTGAGACGGGACGCTACAGTGCGGGTTGTTTTGTTGTATGGCTGTGAGACTTGGCCTATTCGAGCAGCAGAACTTGAGACATCTTCAACTGTACGACAATCGTCGTCTTAGGACCATAGATAGCATAGGTTGGTGTCGGATAGCTCGCAAAGAGGGAATTAGAAAGCGAGTTTTCGGTAGTGCACCGATTACTCCAAATAAAGGACGTTTCCAGCACCAGAGGCTGCGTTGGTTGGGATATGTGTTGCCTATGCCTGGCCATCATTTTCCGAAGAGAGTGCTATTTTTTGTGACGGAAGCAGAGAGGTGGCCAACCCTTGACTTGACAAAGGGTATGGAAGAGATTACGAAAGACTGTCAGGGCTTTTCGCCTACTGGGTTGAAGAGCGCGGGATCCTCACCGCGACTGGTTGGAGACGGTGCAAGATGTCAGTGGCGTTCCAGTTGTCAGTTACTATGAGTGGCTTAATGTATAGGTAGCTCGAAATGATTGTAGTAAGCTAGCGTTTTTTACCTTCCCTATCCACCTTTGTTCTTTTCTTCACGATGAGTCTTTCAAATAAATCATGGTTGTATCAGGAGGGTCGGATTCCTGAAAGCAACTATTGAATGCCGGAATTTACTAAGACCCTCAGCTCCGCGAGATGCTGACCAAACAGACAAGGACCCCTCATTATGCAGCGAGTTGCAACCTTGTATCAAAGTCAGATAGTGTGCGTCACCGTTGGACCAAGTTCAGACAGTGTCCCTCCAATCAATAGCTTGAGGCCATTTTCGTACTCGCACGCACTTACGCTCTCGCACTTGCTTGTCCGGACCATAGCTGTTGTGTCCAATTCTGTGAGTTTTTTCTCCGGCACTAGGCACTGGGGCGGGGTCAGCAGTCAGACACAACAGGTTTTACGGCAGTGAAGCATCTGTGTTGTGAACACTGATGTCACGTTGCCCATGAGGATGGTGGCTGCGTGCTATCCTGCAAGCTGCCAAGCACGAGATAACAGACTGGTCTGCATGATACGGATCCAGTATTTCCATCAAACATCCTTTGAACACTCCTAGGTCGAAGCTTAGGCCGTCGCCTTGTCAGTTTTCTTCGGTAGAAGCACCGACTGGATGTTCGGCAGCCTGCCACCTTGGGCGATTGTCACACCACCCAAGAGCTTCTTAAACTCTGCGTCGTTGCTTGATGGCCAGTTGTAAGTAACGAGGGATGATGCGGATCTTCATGTTGTCACGACCAGCGATGATGCGGATCTTCATGTTGTCACGACCAACGTTGCCAGCCAACTCTAGGACCTCAGCAGCGAGGCATTCTGGAATTGTGGCCAAGTACACAGGGGCACCAGCAGAGTTGCCTTTACGCAGTAGAAGATGCATAGGACCAACGGGGAATTGGAGACCCGTAGGTAATGACGTGGTCTTCGCCTTGACCCGAGTCTTACCGCCTTTGTCGCGATCACTCATGATTTCCAGAGACGTTGAAGGAGAGTCACCGTAAGCTTTCCATATTTACCTTATCGAGTTTATCATGTTGTTACACATGTAAATGGCCTGAATATACCTGTATTTATGAATACGATTCCGTAAAAGAAGTTTAGGAGAGTCATCAGGGTCAACGAATGATAGTATGTACATCTTTTCTCGAGAAATTTTTTTAATATTTTGATCCGGTACCTTGAGGAGCAAATGCAAGTACGAAATGATGGATTCTATCGAGAGTTGATCAGGTGGCTCTTGGTCTATGGATCGAACTTGGCAGTGGCGTAAAAGACGTTTCGTCACCCTTCGAGGAGATGTCATCAGTGCGCTGATGAGTGACTATTTTAGCTGGATATATTCATCCAAATTTTTGTTGCCGCAGTACAGTAATCTCTATTTAAACGCTTGTCGCTCTGATACACTTAACTCTCTCTCTGATAGAGTGAATATCTCTTGGTCAGTTTGCAGCCTAATATGTGCTCCAAAACAGAGGCCTGCCAAACAACATCAAGTTATACCGAGAAATTTGACGCTTTGTGAAATACTTACTGAGAAGACTGAGGTAGATCACGTCGAATTTCGTCGGGGATGCGACATTTTTGTCCAAAAGAGTAGATCCGATTGAATGTGAACAGGAGGGGGGAAAGGGAAATAGAGAACAGGTGATGTAAGTTTGAAATGCATGCAATGTACTGGTACAATCGGTGATATTCACCTAAAGAAGCTGATATAATTGTCAACGGACGGGTAATATCAAATAAATGCTCAGTGATTGAGTCGACGGATTTCGGGAACATTCGATTGCCCCCTTCACCAAATGTGTGACTACGAACAAAATACCTATCCGCAAAACCTCAAAATTTCAACCAAATAGTTTCAAGCGTGTGTCACGCTTTCTGACTGGGAAGTCCTGACTGGTAGAATCAATCATTCGTCACAACCAGGACATTTAGTGGGTCGTCGTTCGATGAATCGTACACACCAATCACATCGCTCAAATGTGAACACATTCGTCTGTTCAGACTTGAAAATTCAGATGCGTCCAACGTACGTTGGTGGAGTAGTGGTTACGCGCTCGCCTCGCATGTCAGATGTCTGGAGTTCGAATCCGACACGGCCATTGGATATGCACTGCTGATGAGCTCTAACGAGAGCGAAACTCGAGTCCAGAGCTTTCCTTTGGTGTGGAGTCACCGGAATAATTACGCCAGAACACGAGGACGGCCGTTCAAACGAGAGTGGCATGACTACGAACAAATTTGTGTGAAGTTGTCAATTTATGGTGGGAGCAGTCTTAGTCGGTCCACAAATCATTTCATCCATATCGATCAGAAGTAACGGCTGTGGTTTGGTCAGTAGACAACCTGGCAACGAGCAAGTGGAACCCTGGTTAAATCTAGTGCAAACGATTGCTTAGTAGCAACGTCCCTTGGTTGTGGTCTCCCATCAAAGCGCAAGGGTCAAAATGTTGGCTGTTCGCTCATGCCGACCTTCCCGAAACCAATCACACGGAATCAGTAATGCTGGCTTCCAGTTACTCCTCCGACACATCTCACTCAAATTTCACTTTCCTTTCATTATGAACTGTGTTCATCCATTGCTGTATAGCCGCACCTGCCGGTCGAAACGTTTGCGGAGCCAGGTTGACCGTTGGAAACTGATTCAGCCACCGCCTTCGTGGACACACACACAATAGAATGAGTGGAATGGGGCGAAAACTGGCATTTCGTCGGCTGACTTACATTTACCCTCACACTTCGATTGCATAGTACAAATTTTCTACCCTATGCCGGTTGTTAAGGCATGTTTTGGCGAAATTCCAACGCCCATTGAAACATCGTCCATGGTGACAAAATCATTTCGACAGGTTTCGTGTTACGGCTCCTGTAGAGTTGATGATGACGTACGAGATGACCAACCGGGTAACTGTATTTCTGTGTGAACCTAATATCTCTTCCCATGGCA